CCGCCCCGCTTGGCAGCAGCTCCCGGCACCAGCCCCGGCCTGACTCACCCGTGATGGGGAACCTGATGTAAGCCAAGAGAGAGGGGAGTGGAAATCAGAGCTCTTGAAACTGTGGAAGAAGGTGGCACGTCCGAGGAGGTCCCTTCGCTTCTAGAGATGGCTGCGAACGGCACCCAAAATAGAGGGGCGAGACACAATAGAGCTGACAGAAAACGGAGATTTGGTGGTGCCAGTGGCTATAGCTGCTTTGAGGGCTGTTCTTAAAATGCTGCAAGAAGGACTTACAGTTATTGCATCTCTGCGCTATACAGGGCTTCTGGGAAAGAAATCTATAGGAGGATTTTAAATCTTAAAGTTACTAGAAATGCAAAATGCCTTTTAGTGCTCTAAGCGATCTGCAGGAGATAAATTGCACATCATAAACACGCTCAAACTCCTAATTAATCGGTGCCAAAAGGAATTAGTTGTTTTCTTTCATTTTTTTAAGTAAGTACAAGTGTAAGATAATGTAAAGAAGCTGGCTTAAATTGGATGTAGGTTCTTCCGTAACTTTGGGGCCTAACGTTTTGTCCAATACTGGCTACAAAAGAAAATAAATCTCATGAACTGGAAGCTTCTGTAACAGACACCAGAGTCCATTTGCACAGCAGCTGTGTGAAGGACGCTGTGATCGTTAGCTGCTAAACTGGGAAGTGTGGCCGGCTGACTGAGCAGCGGAGGGTGGGAGCGGCATTGCTCCATTTAAGCACCTTGTCCAAAGTCTTGGGATGAAAACCAGTGGAACACACCGGAAAACTAATTCTCACTGCTGTAATTAATTCAACCTAGCAGTAAGTTTTACTTGTAATAAAGGAAATTACTTTTCTAGTTGTTACAGACATTAAAAAAAATCTTAAGTACATGAGGCTTGATTTTTCAGGGGATTGAAGCCCCATTCTTACCAGCTTTCCAAGGAGCGATGATGCTCCACGTCTTGGGAGCCACAGTAGGTTCCTCGTGTGAAGAGAGTTTTCTAAGTCAGAGCCCTCTCTGACTGGAGACGCCGCCGTGTTTCTTGAGTCTCCAGGTGGTTCTGGCCCTTCTGAAGAAAATAAATTCATTATACCATACTTTTACACTTTGCTTTGTGGAAAAGCCTTTCTGCACCTCACAACCAACACTCTGTATCTGAGGAGCAGGAGCCAAGTGAGATTGTGTATACACTGACCCGTCTTAAATGACGCCAGACTAATCGCTTACTTTCGTTTCCCCTAGAGAGGCGGTCAGAGGTGGGCAGAACTGCCCCCTGTCCTTAGGCCACCACTGTGACACCGTCAGTTCAAGGGAAAGGCAAACAACTCGCAGGCAGAAACGGCACGATCGTGTTGTGACCGTACAGGAGCAGAGGAGGGAGAAGCACAAGGGTCTCGGTCCTCGGTGGGTCCCTGCACGCTGTGGACACACATACAGGAGCAGGCAGGCCTTTTCCTTCCAGAAGCATGATTAGTATCTCTGTGTTAGTTGTACACTAGAGGGAGGGTCTGCTGTCTGGAGCAGGAGGGGTTTGCACTGGGCGGTTTATTCCCAGCTCTGCCACTGATTTCCCACAAGTTACTTTAATTCCCTGTCCCTGCCCGCCCTTGTTTACAAGGTTAACAATAGCTGCCTGCCTCTGCTGAGCACTTTGAAGCTTAACTGATGTTTTCCAGATGCTTTAGGACAGTGGGAAAGCTACCCTGTCAAAGTGGAGCTCAGAGCAGTACGCGCAGAGTGACAGCGGTGGCAAAAACACAACGCACCGAGTCACATGTGTGGCCCTGAGCTCTGAGCTGACAGCTTCCTCTTAGGAGAGAGGATGCGGTGCTAAACAAACAACTGCAAAACAGGTACATAACGCTTTCCAGCATGGAATACCAGAAGTGATGAGTAGGGCAAGAAGAAAGCAGAAAACAGCCCCGCCAGCCCAGGCACCAGTGGCGTGCCGTGCTGCCAGCACCGCGCTTGTCTTGCCCACTTTACCTTTAGCTGGCCTTGCCCTGCGGGCAGCTCGTGTATCCGTACTGGTTTTGTTCAGGAAGCTCTGCAGCACCGCCCGCGGCTGGAGGGTTAAGGGCGGGGGGCGAATGTGGGCAATGCCAGCGGGCGGTGGGACTGGCAGCGTGCACCCACCTGGGCAGCTGCGTCATGGCACAGCATGGTGGGGGTGCTCGTTCAACAGGAGGGCACCTCCTGCCACCTCAGCACCCTGCAATAAAGCCCTCAGCAGAGGATTAATCAGCAGGAGCAGGCACTGTAAGCGAAGGCTCGCAGTAACTCTTTAAGGCTCATAAAACAAGCTCCTGCAGCGGCACAAGGTAGAGTTTCTGTCCCAGTCTTGCCAGCACCATGTTGGCAGCGTGGGCGATGGGAGCCTTGGGCATCTGAGCCAAAACTTCTTGCACACGCATAAGTCCATCAATAATCATTGGTACCTTGGTTATACCTGTCCTCAAGGAAGCACCCTTGCATCCGTGAGCAGCCACACGCACATGTTGTGACCTGTGTGACAGCATTAGTGCTGTCGGTATCGCAACAGAAGCTGACGGGCTCGGGGAGCAACGCTCTTGGGGAGGGGAGTATGTTTTTTCTCTGTGGAGGTAGCATGAAAGCACCGTGGTGAGAGTAGACGACTGACCTGACTGCAGGAAAAGTGTCCCCGGCTGTTTAAAGCAAATTAACCCACTAAGTTGCCCCACGACAGAAGAGAAGCTAGATGGTACTCACTTGTGTGCCAGCTCAGGGAGAACTCAGCCTCCCTCTTCTCACACTTGCAGCGTTGAAACGGTTCCAGTGTTTAAAAAAAGCTGTGGGGAATCTGCATTTAAATTTAATGGGTGTGCTTTTGCTCTCTGATGGTAATAAGGTACATCTGTTAAAAATACTTCACTCTGGTAGCTGTTTGCTGAAACTAGAACCCTAAGTTCTTTTTAAAGAAAAGAAAAGAAAAATCCAAACCAAGACCACTTCACCTGGTCTTGGCCCAATCAGATTTAACTGCAACAGCAAATCTAACTACAACTCAGCTTTACAATCCATTTTATCCAAGCGCTCGCATTAGAAAAAAACAACCACAAAAGACAACAATCCATTTTTAAGTGGAAACAAAAATAGGCAAAGCTCAGCTCTGAACCAGGGCTGAACAGAAGTATGTAGGGTGAAACTTGCAGTAAGAACAAGAGTTCTGGTTGATGCCCAGGTGGGAGCAGTGAACGCTGGTGCTGGCGCCTTTCCTGACGGCTCGTGTTTGCTGTTTTTGCAGTACGCCACGACGGGCTGCTCTCTGACACTCCACCACACAGAAAAGCCAGGACACGAAAACATCTGTGAGTATCGGCCCTACTCCTGCCCGTGCCCTGGTTCCTCCTGTAAATGGCAAGGATCCTTGGAAGCCGTGATGTCCCACCTCATGCATGCCCATAAAAGCATTACCACCCTTCAGGGAGAAGACATCGTTTTTCTCGCCACAGACATTAACCTTCCCGGGGCAGTGGACTGGGTGATGATGCAGTCGTGCTTCGGCCACCACTTCATGCTGGTGCTGGAGAAACAGGAGAAGTACGAAGGCTATCAGCAGTTCTTTGCCGTCGTGCTGCTCATCGGCACCCGCAAGCAGGCGGAGAACTTTGCCTACGGGCTGGAGCTCAACGGCAACCGCCGCCGGCTGACCTCGCGCTCCATTCACGACGGCGTGTCCGCGGCCATCCGCAACAGCGACTGCCTCGCCTTCGACACGGCCATCGCGCACCTCTTTGCTGACAACGGGAACCTCGGCATCAACGTGACTATTTCTACGTGTTGCCCGTGATGCCTTCGCGTGGGCAGCAACACCTGGCTCGTCTGGACGTTGTGCTTTACATTCACCAAGGGGTGTCTTTTTGTTCTGGTTGGTTCCTTTGTGTTTTCTTTCTCCACGATACTCAACTCTGTCGTCGCGTATGCTAAGGTTCCTAACTAGCCAGCATTTTTAACTTTGGAGAGAAGAGGAACGAGAGTGTCCTGTAAAAAATACGAGTGGGAAAAGGTCTTTTTAAATTCTTGGGTGCCTTAGGAAGATTCCCCACACACAGTCACCTTTCTTAATTTAATTATATTTTATTTAAAGAGTGCTTCCATTAGACATGTGGCTTAAGAGACTTGAAGGACT